TAATTACAGGGTAGGAGGAGTTGGTTAATTCAGTCTTCTGTTTGGCCTATCTTTGAGTGCATATGGGAACTAGTATTTCATTTTATTCCAGTTTTTAAAATAATATATTGTGATGAAATAAATTTAAAGATCTGAATAAAATGTAATCACATGTTCTTACAGATATGTATATTTTTGTATTTTTGCCATAATGCTTTAATTACATCCTTCCATGAGGTCTTTTTTTTTTTTTTTTTTCCAGTCCTAAGGATTGAACACAGGGTTTATCTCAGCCCTTTTTAATTTTTGAGACAGTATCTTGCTAAGTCACTTAAGTGACCCAGGCTGGATTGAAAGTCATGTTCCTCCAGCATAGCCTTCCAGAGTGTTGGGATTATTGGTGTCTACCACCATGTGTAACTTACATTTGGTTACTTATATTAAAGAATTGATTATTATATTTAAATATTTATAAAATGTATACTTAATAATTATACTTTAAATGACTATTTAAATGACTTTAATAAACAATGTACACTTTAAATGACTTTTCTAAGTGAGATTATTTAAATAAATTTATCAAAGTCAAAAAATGGTATTTTGGAAAAATTATTATTCAGAGAATATATATCCTTCTATTATCTCTTTTATCTTTTTGTAGGTAGTCCTAGCTTACTGGTATCGTACATTCACAGGAATAACGAATTTATTTGGTATACAAACTAAGGCCTGCTGGAGTGTCACCAGAATGGGATTTCCTAGTGAAGTTGAGAGCTGTGAAGGTCTGTGTCTCGCTCCAACCCTGCTGTACTGTCCTTAGGGCTGTCATAAACACAAGAATCCCTGTGTGGAAACAGCTGGGACTCATTTTTTCCTTTAAACAACACTAAAAATGATTCACCTCGATGATTATTTTATGCTTCAGTTTTCTGAGAAGGCTCCATATTTGCTAATTTGAATATAAATTTCAAATTTAATTTGTGTATTAATTTAGCCCATAGATGGCAAACTTGAGTAAAAGTCTTCCATATCAGAGTGAGGTAATACAAATAAGAGTGTTTTGGGTGTCTTCAATATATACACTTTTGGACTTAGTCAAATATACACTTGTCATAGTGTATTAATGAAGTAGCACAAACATATTAAAAAGTCAGATTCAGGTTGCAGTGGCAACACTGCTTTTTACATACTCACAGTCTGGTGGATAATTGTAGTCAGACTCTTCCTATGTATCTTCTACATTTTTTTTTTTTTTTTTGGTCAGATAACTGCTTTGGGAATTCTGTAACAGTTCTCCAGGACATGCAGTGTCACTGCTACTTAAAAGTGTGCAGTTCAGCTGTTTGACAACCCGAGGACAATGCTGTCCCTTGGAACCCTTGTGCAGAGTCACACATGCCTACCTGCATAGCACTTACACAGTTGTTTCTTTATTTCTTCCACTCTCTACAACATGACTACTTGCTATAGTTTATAAATATATTTTTATAGAGTGGTTTACAATAACATTCAACTATGGTAATATAAACTAATCTGTATTTCCTTTATATTTTTATTGATTCCCTTAAAGTAAATTTATAAAATTAAAACAATGCAGGATGTTTAAGAAATAATTAGGGGCTGGGGATTTAGCTCAGCGGCACAACGCCTGCCTGGAAAGCACAAGGTTGTGAGTTCGATTCTCGGTACCAGAAAGAAAAATAGAAAAGAAACAACTAGACTTTTGTTTGTTTGTTAACCATATAAAAGAATAGAGAAAATACCTTGTGAATTTAGAGACTTGCTAATGACCTGGTCAGCTGGAAAGTACAGTCTTTTCTAAGGCATGAAAGTATCACTTTCTGTAGGGACAAATATTATACCTCCTAAATTCCCAGTAAGTGACAGGTTAGAATTTGGCACTTGGGTTGCAGCAGTGGCCCAGTGGACATGGTCCTTATCTTCATGGAGTCTACACTATGAGCAGGCTCTTAGCAGTTATAACCGTGATGGAAAATACACATGCAAAGATAGAGCTATCAAGAGGAAAAGTATTTCAAGGGCAGGGACCAGCAGATTTAGTCTCTGGCCTCATGAATAACGTACAAAAGTAGCAAGGGAGACCAGAGAGAACCTGGACTTCTAGAACAGAGAGGGAGGGAAACGAAGTGGTGTAACGTCATCCTGGGAGTACAAGATAGGATCCTGACTTACAGGCTCCATGGCAGGGAAGGCTTTTGTACTTTATTCACTGAAGCACTTTAATAGATTCTTACTTTGGGCATTATGGTGGTTGTTTGGAAAGGATACCATTGGCCTCCACAAGGCCAGAGACTATTGTGCTGTCAGCACATGATTTGTATAGAGAACAGTGAAACGCCAGGTCTTGGGGGACACCTTGGTAATAGAATTAACAAGCCTTGGTAGTTGATGAGAAGGAGGTGGGAGATTGAAGAAGTCTTGTATCTCCTTGGTTTCCAGCTTGAATAATTAAATTTCTTGAACAGTAGTAAACATGACAAGCACAGGTGTGAACTGCTGTGCTCGCTGTGGATGTATTGGCTTGAGATCATAGAAAGAGATATTGCATGGATGCCCGGATATATAACTTAGGAATAAGGATGTTTGGGGCTCAGTATAGACTTGGACTCATCTCTATGTAATGATACTCAGAGCTACAGAAGTAGAAAAATTTCCTTAAGGAGAACATGCAGATTGAGAAGAGAGGAAAGCAGGTGATAGAGGCTAAAGAGAGCCAGTGTTGAAGAGAAGGTGCATAAAAAAGAGAGATTGTTATAGGACAGACAGGAAGGAGTGGCCAAGGAGGTAGGAAGGTCACAAGGGCTAGCCTTCAAGTTTGCCTCCAACCAGTTAGATAGGAGAAACTTTTGACAAGTTATTTAAGTTATCTATTATTTGTTTTCTCAACCATAAAAATACTTTTATGACAATCTCATTTTTACCTGAGAAGTATGCAAAATGATAATTTTAAAACAAATAAGAATTCTATACACACAATCTAATATATGATTGATATATTAAAATTCTAGCTGTTGATAATAATGGATCAAAAACTGGATCATCTTATTCAGACTAAAGCTGCTCCTTGAGGTCAGAGACTTTATGTCGCTCATCCCAGAGCCTAAAAAAGATAAAATAGTGCAAAGGCTTTCTCTTGGGAGTCACCAAGTGGCTCTACAGATAATTCTAGATATTAAGGAAGAGCAGCATCATCTTCATTAATGAGAAGCCCCAACAATTATGTCTGTATAAGAATACTTCTTCAGGGGAACTTATAAATGTAACTAAATAATGCATTATTGGGGCTGAAGGTGTAGCTCTGTGGCACAGCCCTTGCCTAGAATGTAAAAGGCCATGTTTGATCCACAGCAACAAACTGTCCCCCCACACACTTTGTATATGGGTAAAGATTATTGAGACTGTTACAAAGAGCATCAGTTTGAAAGCAAATGCTTTCAGCAATTTCATGAGCTTGTGAGTAAAAATCACTTGGATAATTATGCTTCCTTGCTTTACAGACACTTGTTCACTAAATGCTGAATAATCTCTATCTTTTCAAAGGATTGGGAGACCCTACTTGCTTCTATGTGAGTGTAATTTTTGTCTTAAATGGGCTCATTACGGCTTTGCTCTTCATCTATGCTGCCTACTTGAGGTAAGACACCGAATTAAAAGATCTGACTGAGCTTATAAGAACCAGCTGATAATTACTGATTACATTAGAAGAATTACTGAGGTTGATTGATTAATTGTAGGAACATTTGTAGATTTGAATTTCAAGGTGCTTAACCCATGTCATGTGCTTTCCTCTCAGGCTCTGTTGCTTCTCAACAGAGCATTATGGGTTAGTTTCGCCAGTGATAAGTAAAGAGCCTCAGAAAATATTTGTCTTTCTCACAAAAGGGTATATTTCATGGTCCCTTCTCTATTCCTTCATACTTTTACATGGAAATGATGCCTGGAGACACAGCAGTCATCTTGTGGCCATGAGAGAAAGCCATCTAAAGCAGACATATCTGGTCTAACATAAATGTTGCTTAACCAGTACCAATAGATGTTTACCTCTCATTTGTTTGTTGAGTGATACAATAAACACTCATACTTTCCAAGCCACATTTGAGAGATTTTTTTGTTTCTCTCAGTGAAATATATTCTTAAGTAACTCATCAGCTTTCTTTACAGTTTTACTCATGAAATTTGAAACATTTAAATTTAGAAATCTAGATTTAGTCATCCAACAAATATTTACTGAGTTTCATAGGACTTATGTCAATGTAGATTAATATGTATATGCACTCCTTGTTTTAGGGAGTTTTGGGCATAAAAGGACTTGCATAATATCAGTGAAAATTTGTGACATATTTAATATTGTATCAGTGTTCTATCCAGCATACAGGCTAAAAAAAGTGTAAAGCTTGGAAAATTTGACAGAAAAAGTAAATTTTTTGAAAAGTAGTTCACATTATATATGTGGAAAATAAAAAATTAAGAGTAAACTATTTGAAGCAGTTAGAAAATTTATGATGTTACCTGAACACAAAAAATAGTACACAAAATGCTAGAGTATAGGTTCTATACTCTAGTGTCAAACAAAAATGAAATTTTAAAAAGATGCTACCTAGAGTAGCATTAAAGTCATGAGATATGAGGTTTCTAAGAATAAATCTAATAAAAGATATGCATAACCTTTATAGGGAAACTGCTAAATGTTGATTGAGATGCATTTAAGAAAATGGAAATAAATGGAGAGCTATATCATGTTCATGTTTTAGAAGTTGACAGTTAACTCAAATTGATTTAAAGATTCAATGCTGTACCAGTCAACATTCTGTCATAATTTTGTTGAGCCCATTAGCTGGTTTTAAAGTTATTCAGAAATGCAAAAAGCCAAATTTAGTTAGAATGTTTTTGAAAAAGATGAAACTTGCTTTATCAATTATTGCTAAAATAAGACAGCACGCTAGATAGAAAGATCACAGGAATGGAGTAGAGGCCAGACACAAAAATGTACGTTTAAAAATACTTGTGTATGACAGCGGGTATTGCAGCCTATCCTTGTGGATGAGGATAGGCTTTTCATAAGTGGTGCTGGACCTATCTATTGATGGTTATATTGATGATCTTAGAATCAGGATAACAGCTGTGGTCTCAGGAGTGTCCAGGGAGGACTCCACATGTAATAATTTCTCTATTTCAGTTACTTATATGGTGGCTACATGGATGTTCACTTTGTAATTGCTCCATAAATAAGAGATGTTGTACATTGTACTTTTCTCAGTGTCGTGCAGGAAGACTTTGGAAGGATAGCTTTGAGACAGTTTCATCAGGCTTAAATGTTCTATTTTTGAAAATAGTTTGTACTTCTTTTTTAGTGTGGAAAACCTTACATAGCTGTGACTAAACTTTTGAGTTAGCATTTTTCACAAGGAGGGCTCCTCAAGAGTGCATGCTCTCTCTAAACAGGCTACGCAGTTGTGGAATATCAGATATATTACCAGTCTCCAGTCTTTAAGAAAAATATGTGGGTATGACAGTTATGATCTATAAAAATGTCACCAAAACTGTGACGGGATCAGAAACTAAAAAATGTGAGAAACAAAGGAAATAGAATAGGCATTACCTTGGAATGTAGACACTGTTTCTGTTCCTTGGGTGAATAACCATAAAATGTTAACGTGCACGTTTAACTTGATTAAATCTAGAATGAATCCACATCATTTCCATTCTCCTGATCAGTACGTGGCATTGTGGAAGCTCTGTTGCCTTACAAGTTAGTACCACAGTCAGTACTCCTGTTACCCCTCTGCAGCAGCCAGTATTATCGTTAGCATTTTGGGGTTGCCAGGTGTTTCAGTTCATCCACATGTTCACAGTTCACGTGTGCACAGCCTGTCCCTGCTTCTCACGCCTTCTTTCTTTCAATTTCTTACTCTCTGATATAAATCCCTTGAATTTCCTTTAGTGAGAGTCAGTTTGTGATCACTCACTTCCCTGTCACTTTCCTCTGTTTGTTTCTGGGACTCTTTCTTCATTTATCCACCTGGTACTTACTGTCTTTCAAGTGTGGAGCTGAGGATGCAGCAAAGTATGAGATCCAGAGAGATTCTGTTGGCGCGGGGTTGGTAAGGCTGTGACCACAGCCGCGGTAGGTTGAGACTCTGCCAGGAAGTGGGTGTGAACGCTGTGTCTAGGAAATGGTTCTCACTCTTTGATGGTTATTGGCTGCCTTCCTACATTGCTGCTTCCTTCAGACTCACAAATTAATATATATGGTCACTTACTGCTGTTATTGTTCATCAAAACTGGTAGACTATGTCTCAGGCACTTAAATTCAGTTTCAAAAGACAGAACATTTAGATTATTCAAAGAATGTGGTATAAACTGAAGTGTTAGTCTGTTGATTAAAAAAATCTTTTTTATACTGAAGATTTATACTGGCATTCAAACCAGGGTAGGTTTGAACTTGCAAGCCTCCTGTCATGAACTTCCAGCATGTTGGGATTATAGATATGCGCCACTACACCTGGTTTGTTAAAAATTATTTTATGTTCATAAGCTATCTATTTTATTTTAGAAAATATTATAAATATAATAAATTAGAAAATTTATGTTACAGTATACCTACAATTTTTGTCTGTATTTTCAATATTAAAACATTGACTACATGGGCACTTCTGAAATTTTTACTTATGTTTTAAGCACAGAAAAATAATTTTAAATTCTGAGATTTTTAAAAAAATCTCACCTTATCTTACATGAATTATGATTTCATACTTTGTTTTTTACAGTGGGAGTCAATTAGGAGGTCTAATTACAGTACTGTGCTACTTTTTCAACCATGAAGAGGTTTGTTTTCTATAAAATAATTTTAATATCTTAAGAGGCTATATAAGAACAAAGAGATGTAATCATTTAAATGATATATGTTGCATATATATGACCTGGCAATATTTGGTAGAACCTTATGTTGTAAGTTGGTGTTTTAATTGTGTTGATCTAAATTTTTAAATCATCCAAAGTTAAAAATATATGAAATATCTTGCCTGGTCTTTCATGAGTACTTACATGTACATATGCTCAGTAGAACAAAGGAAATACAATATTTCCTGAGTCAGACCCTTTACATGTTTGCATTTACTAGTAGAAAAAACTCTGTTGGAGGTGGTTGGTATCCTCACCTACACATCCTGACACTGAATTTTAGTTTAGGTTACTTACCCAAGATTCCACACTCTACCTGGGGAAGCTGAGATCCCTCTCTCCCCAGTCCTGTGCATTGAACCCACAGCCTGCAGACTAAGCCGTATATCCCTAGGCTGGGCTCAAACCTTTAATTCTCCTGCCTCAGTCTCCCAGAGTACTGAGATGACAGGTGTATGCCGCCATACCCGGATAGTTTTCTCTTTATATATATTTTACTTTTTGTATAGTGATAAGAGTACTGAACAGGAGAACTGCCTTCTTAACGGGTTTTAAAATGTTATAATACAGTGTCATTAAGAAAATGTTGTGCAGCAGAATTCTAGGATGTATTCATCTTGCTCAGATGACAGTTTCTGCACTTGCACTTCTCCAGGGCTGGAAGCTACCTTTGACCATAGGTACAAAGCCAAGGCTTTGCCACCTACCACCTTTCTTCTACATCATCTTGATACAAAATGTTAAATTAAGAGTAGAGATTTACATACTGATTTGTCCTAAAGGAACGTAGAGCTCATAGAAACTTATGTAAAATATGGTGGATTCACTGGACAAGACGTTGCACGTGTACAAACCATGTGCCTGACGTGTTAGCCACTGAGCACATGGCAGTGAGAGAGTCTGACTGGTATTGAACTGTGCAATGCACCAGTTATGTAGGGTAGAAGTCTTTATGTGTTGCTAATGGGTTAATTCTTAAATTAGATAAGAGAATAGTAAAAACCTTACATAAAATGCTGTCAATATATTATTTCAGGCTAAAGCAAACAAATACCTCATCATTCAATAATCTTTTGATGTAAAGAAAAAGCCTTGTATTTGAGTCTGTTAAACTACTAATGGTACGAATTGACTTTTTATACAATTGTAATTCATCTTCCAGTTTACAATTTAAGCTTCTTAGAACAATACCTTTTAAGACCCTTGCAGAGTAATAAGATTTTAACATCTTTTGAGAATTTTTGGTACAAAATTTTAATCATACTCTGACCCATATATATTAGAAATTGTCTTAAAGTATACATGAATATTTAATACTTACATTCTGTGTATCACATTACTTCCAGTATGCACCTACTGCTAATAATTCTCATACTTCCAGTTGTCTTTAAAGTTTACAGTTAACTCTTTTAAAGATGTCTTGCACACACTCAGAGGGGCTCTCGAGTACTTGTGCCACCTGGACTTAGGTGTAATCTCTTGGTGTTTGCGAATGCCCCAGGTGACACCTCAAGGATTCTCGAGTATTACAGTGGACAGGACTGGAGCTCAAGGCCCAGGATGTCTGGTCACACATATGAGGTTGGACTGTGGATCTGGCCCCAGGAATCCTCACAGTCCCTATCCCTGCCTTGGTTGTCACTGAGGCTTGCTTGTGCTTGCTCCCAAAGATCTGGCACTCGTCCTAGGCTTGGAAGATAGACCTCTACTCAGTGGTCCCATGTGAGGAGCTCCAAGCTTTGCCTGCTTTCAAAGCAGGATCCAGTGGGCCTGGGGCTAAAGTTCCCAGGGGAAGCCAACCCCTGTGTTCGGCAAATGACGTTTGCTGTCGTGGACCTGACGTGAACCCAGACTTTCATTCATCTCAGGCCACTCGTGTGATGTGGACGCCACCTCTCCGCGAAAGCTTTGCGTATCCGTTCCTGGTTCTTCAGATGTATATTGTTACAAGGATTCTCAGGTAATTTTTATTTATAAAATACAGATAAGTAAAATGAAGTTAAGTTTCTTAAAATTTGCGTCAACCTGTTATAATTACCTTATTTAAGCTATGGTTTTTAGTTTTTAAAAAATAAACTAAATACAGAGCTAAGGTCATCTAAAAATTGCAATATAGAAATTGATCTCCATTTAAGAGTTTATACAGGTTTTAGGTGAGTAAATTTTAATAAAATATATGTGATCGTTTATTGTTGGCAAGGATTTGACAGTTTTTGAAGAAAAAGATTTTGTTTGAGGTTCATGTACTATAACTCATTGTTTTCTAAACTGTGTTTTTGATACAGCATTCATATATATGCCATGAAAAAAGTGTTCTATGTGCAGCAGAGCAGAATTTGCAAAATACTGGGGATGGGGGTGAGATTGGCAGGAAGAGAGAGAGAGAGAGAGAGAGAGAGAGAGAGAGAGAGAGAGAGAGAAAGAGAAAGAGTTCATTTCTGAATGATGCAACTTGTGAATCATGCATAAATACATAAATGTCTACATCTACATTCCATATATTTAGAACTATCTCACTGGAAACAGAGACCACGCTGCATTTATCTCTAACCACGGAGCACTTAGTACCCTCCCATGTGAACACTTGAGATGCTCCTGTGGTAGTTTATTAAATGGATGTAAATTCTGCAACATGGGGAGGCTACTAACCTTAGAGAGGAGCAGGCTAACTCCTGCTGTGTTACCTGCCTGGCAACTTTACTTGGGGGCTGCAATTAGATTTGGTTATCTGCTCCCTGTCCAGATTTCTATGTTTATTCATCACATTGCCTCCTGTGAATAAGTATGGCACAGAAAGTTGCTCATTCCCACCTTTCTCCCTTCATTCTCAGTTAAATTGGAGGATGGTATGATTGATTGATTGATTGATTGATTGAGGAGGTGTCAGTCTGAACAGGTAGGAGTTTCACAGAATGCAGTGTGCTACTCTTACCTGAGTCAAAAGTAATTTTCATTTGATCAGATATAAAATTACCAAGAGCTGAAAGAATATTTTGTGATCATATTACTAAACAATATGAATACTTAAATTTTTACTTTTGAAAAGTTATCTACTGTTGCATAAAGATTGATCAAAACCCCAATACATCCTTTATAAAAAGAACAATGACTTTTATTATTTATTTAAAAAAACCCTTGGATTTCTTTTTTCATGTTCAAAAGATCCTGAACATACTCTGATTTCTCTTCGGATCGTATAAATGTTTTGCCTTTTACAAAAGATCCTGAGCTCCTCTGTGCTAAGAGGTGTTGGTTGCCAGTATGTTCTAGTATTGTAGAATGGACAATTTATATTTCAATTGCAGTAATTTAGTTCTATTCCACAATTAGTTTTTAATTTGTTGTCTTAAATTTTTTCTGTAAATTTTTCCACAGTTGTTAACTTATTTCTTCACCAACGCACTTTTCCTTACTGTTTTCTGAAATGTAAAAGTGGTGATACATAAAAACTGTAGGGGGTAAACGTCTGGAGACACCCAGGGCCACCATTCTGCCCTATTTTCTGGCCTTCTGATGGAGTATTTAATTTTGAAAGCCATGCATATTTATAGGAAAATAGACTGTTATATTTAAAGTGTTTTATTTAATGATGAATTATATATTATTATTTCTGAAATGTTAATTATACTTTTCTGTTTGAGAAATTGATTTTTAAAGTTAACTATGCTTTATTGTATTATATCAAAGGTAGGAGAATCATTTAGGTTTTATCCTTTTGCAAGTAGTCTTTTTTTTGAATGACTAGACTCTTCATGGAAAAACTTACTGATCCCACTTCTCTCTGCTAAGGACCTCCAGCAATTATGGAAAACATTACATTGCCCTTTGTCTTGCCAATGTTGCTTTTATGCTTCCCTGGGAATTTGCTCAGTTTATACTTTTTACACAGGTAAGGTGATTTAAAATTAATTTAAGTTGGAGCAGTATGTATTGGCTATTTCTATAAAAGTTTTAAAATATGCTTACATTTATGTTCTAAAAGATTTACAAAATATGGAGTGATTATAAAAATTACGTGAATGTGTGAGTTAAAAATATAATTCTGTATTCTTTCGTGTATTGGTCACTGATGAATATTAATGATTAACATGTAAAGGACTTTTTTCTATTATTTTTAATCACAAATTTTCCTGTTGGAGGGCAAAATACCATCTGTGTATCTATTTGCCTGTGGATTTTCTTATCTGGGTGCCCAGCTATACCCCCTGCTAGGCCAATCCTGCCGTTCATGATTGGGGTTTCTATTCTGGTCCAGCTAAGCATTGACCATTTTATCTGAAGAAGAGAATTTTACCTGGAACCATGTCTCAAAGCTGTACTCATGATATTGCTTACATGAATTGAATCTATATCCAGCTTCCCAAAACAGCTAAGTAACTAATGGCAATATACTTACTGCATGAAAGCTGGGAAACAAACAGCAAAAGTACAATTTTGATGAAATTTCATGTCACTGAGATTTTTAACTAAGGCTTAAAAATCCTAACCCTGATAATGATAATAATAATAGTTTATATTGGAGGTGAGAAATTCTGCCACGAGGCCTCATGCTGTCAATTATCACAAAGAATGAGATTATAACCTCCACTTAATTAGCACTGCATGTTCAAGTTATTTCCACTGCTTTACTGCCTTTTAGTTGGCCCTTTTCAGGTTGCAACACAGAAATGATTCTGTGGTTGTCATTATTTGCACATGCCAACGTAGGAGAGTATATTTTTAATGAGCATCATTTGTCTGTGGGCAAATTTGTTAATCCAGTGTGCTGATGAAATTATGAGATGTGATAAAAAGTATGATGAATATTTAAGTTGAAAGAATGTATTATTGGCAGTAATCACCCCTCAAAAAGTTGTCCCTGATTTTGAACATACTTTTGCAATCATTCTTGCCACTTTCTAAAGCAGTTCTGAAGTTCCTCTTTGATGAGTATCTTCAGTGTGCTGTCGTGGCTTCCTCCCTATCCTGAATTGATTCAAAATGTTGACCTTTCATGGTCATTTGAAATTGGTCAGTGCCAGATCCAGTAATTAAGGCAGGTTAGGCTCTGGATTCAATCCCTAGAACCACAAAAAGTAGAAATAATCATAAGCAAAAGAACACACTGTAATGTTTTTATGAGCCTACTTTTCTTTGAGTGCTATCCAACAGCAGCAACTAATCAAATTTTTGACCACATCTGATAAAGTCACTCAGGAAAGAGGACTTCCAGAACTGTTTCAGAAAGTGGCAAGAATGATGGGAAGTGTGAGAGAGCGAGGATTTTGAGCATGTGGTTAATGGCAATGTGTATTTTACTGGGATAAATGTTTTTAAAATTTAAACATACACCATACAGTTTGATTACCTCTTGTAGGTAAGTTCTCTGGATAAGTTCAATATTGCCTTAGTGATTTTCTGTCCATTTAAGTATATGTATGAGATTTGTTTGTGTGTTTGTTTTCTCATAGTAATGGTATAATTTAGTTATTTTTCTAGGAATGTTCTGAGATTTTATTCTTGGTTAGATTTTCATAAAGTTAAAATTAATTAATATATCCTAACCATATTGAGTGAGAAATGCGAGTTAAAGAGCCAGAGATTGGTGACACTTTAAAGAGAAAAAACTGAAAGACTGAAGGAAACCTAGATTATTGATGCCCTATTATTAAGGTTCTCAGTTTGTATGAAGATTAACTCTCCACTTGTACAGTTTTGACAAACACATTAGACTACCATATAGAACAATATCAGCATCCTAAAGAAAACCCTGGGCTTCACCGCAACCTTGCCATTACCCCTAACAACTATTGACTTACTGCCCCTACAAATTTGCCTTTTATACAATGTCATAATGGTTGGAAAATATGTAATATTTTCAGATTGGCTTATATCGCATAGCATTTTGCACTTAAGATTGCTCCATGTCTTTGTGTGACATGAGAGCTCAATTCTTTTTATTGCTGAATGTATGATTGTGCCACTCTATCCGTTCACCTATTGAGGGACATTATGATTGATTCCAGTCTTTGATGATTCTGAATAAAGCTACCACAAACATTTGTGGACAGGTTTTTGGGTGGACACAGGTTTTCATCCCAGGTGGATAAATATCCAGGAGTGTGGCTGCTAGACTTTGTAGAACTGCCAATTTTATCACCTTTTTATTTATCCATTCTGTGGTGAGCAATAGCATCTTGTTTTAATTTGCATCTCCCTAATGACATATAGTACTGAACATCTTTCTGTGTGCTTGTTTGTCATCTTTGGTGAGATATTCAGAGTCTTTTGTCCATTTTTAATTGGGTTGTTGTCCTACTATTGAGTTTGAAGAGTTCTTTGTATATTTTGTGTAACGCTTCTTTATCAGATGTGTTGTCTAAAGATTTTTCTCCTGGTCTCTGTCTTCAGTGTGTTGTATTTAAAAAGTTTTTATCAGACCATAGGCCTCCTAGATCTTCTCCTTTGTTATCTTGTGAAATTTTACCTTTAGGTCTAACATGTGAGATCTGTGTCTAGAGTCTTCTTTTTTCTTGACTGTGGACATGCAGAGGTTCCAGCACCACTTGTTGGAGACTGTTGTCTACCGAGTTGCCTTTGCTCCCTGGTCAGGGCTCAGCTGCTGTTTTCTGGGTTTATTTCCAGGCTGTTTTGTACCACTGATCACTTTGACTTTTTCTTTAATTCCACACTCTCTTGATTACTGTAGCTTTACAACTAAATCTCAGAGTCTCTTAGTCTCCGGTTATTTTTAAGCATTCTCTCTTTGCTTTTGGCTTTGCACAGATTTTACTGTGTTAATGCTTGTGTCTAGTGCTTTACAAATCAGCACTTGGTTTTGCCTATCAATTTTCTGAGGTTTTTAGCTGTATATCTTTGAATATAGCTTCTACCTAATTCTCCTCTTCCTCGAATGTAAAATATAAAAGAATTGATGTTTACACTATGTACTCTGTATCTCTTATTTTCTTTCAGATATTTTCACCTTTTTATCATTTTGGACTTTCAGATATTTTCTTCTGGCCTGCCTTCTAGTTGAGCACTTCCTTTATATTTATTCTGCTTTTAAACTCATCAGTTAATCTCTTAATATCATTGTAATATTTAGTTGTAACATTTTGATTTCTTCTTTCCATTGCTCTTCAGGAATTTTCAATCCTATGTATTATTCCTTGGACATGTCAAACACTGTTTACTTTTGTATTTGATGGTGTCAGGTATGTTTCTGAGTGATCTGCAAGCAAATGACTGTTTCTGTATTTCTACAGAGTTTAAAAAAAAAAAAAAACAGCAGAAAAAGATATATACCAGGGACTGTATGTGGCGCACAAAGCATAACATACTTATTCTCTGGCCTTTTACAGAACAAGCTTGCTAACCGCAGATCTAGGTCCTTTGTAGATGTTTTCCTGTAATCTCAGTGATAATGTCTTGTCTCCTGCACTCAATCTTACGTTTTTTCTGCAGTGTCTTATCTCCTCCTCTCAAAATAGCTCAGTAGTTGTCTTAGTTATTTTTGGAGTAGTGTAGAGTTAATTTGAGACTGTTTTTACTCGCATTCTCTAGGAAGATTAAATTTGCTTCCAGCGGGCAAATAAAGGCACTAAGGGTCTCAACTCATATTTCTGCAGTGAGATTAGGATGACTCAAAAGTGGGGTTCAGCTTTTCTGAAGGTGGGGTTCAGCCTTCCTTATAACTGTTCTCTGGTTCACTCATAGAGTGTAGTCCTTTGATTCTCCAAACCAAAGCCTGGGTACTTAGCAGACACCCCCTTTTTGGCATGCCCAGGCCACCCATTCTGTTGAAATGCCTGCCAAGCCTGTAGGTCTCCCAGTGCCCCTTAATCTGCCTGTATTGGAACTTACATATATGTCCGGGAGAAAAGTTATCCAAAATGCATGGTCACTAGGATAGATTCCCATTTTTCCCTGGTTTTACTTTGCAGATTTCTCGCTTGCCTTGTTAGTAATCTACAGCTCTCATACATATATGAAAATGTATATATATTTCCCTAGATACTGTACTTGCTCAATTGGAAGATTGGTTCAAATTAATTTGCCTATGATAAGAAATATGATGCCCTTCTTGTATTTATTTTACCTAAAACCAGTATTTGTTTGTTAGATATTTTTCATTTTTGTGATGTTGCGTTTGTTTCAGGTGGCCTCATTATTTTCCATGTACGTTGTGGGGTACATTGAACCAAGCAAATTTCAGAAGATCATTTATATGAATATGGTAACATTTTTAATGTGTATAAATCAAATATCAAAATAAGTTCCCAGAGTTTATAAAACACAATTAATTCTGTTTGTGGTACTGTTTAATACATATAATGTTGATGGTATCCTGAAGGAAAACTAGGAATATGCATTAGAGATACTACATTACAGCACATTATGCTTTCAACTAGATTGTAAATGTCTTGACCTCTCTAAAACATTTTTATGATTTATTTTTGTCTTTAAGTTTGAAACAGTCCTTTTTTCCTTAGCCCTGAGATTTCCAGTACCTAGGGCAAATATAATACTCTACAGTGGAAATTTTACAGTGCTGCATCTTTGTTTTCATCTTAAATTTCAAACATATCTTTCTTAACAACAGAAAAAATAATAAAGCTTCATCAGTGATGGAAAGCATGAAGTAAACAACAAGAATAAGATTAGGGAAACATAATTCTAAATCTTGTTTTATTATTTTGTTATTGGAACAATAGAAATAATAGAAATTTTAAACCTTTCTTTGTGCCAGTAGCAGATAGAGAAAATTTTAATTGTGCTATATGAATTTATGATATTAAATTTTAGTACTTAGAAACTAGCAATGACTTGAAATTCTGTAGACCCACACCATTAATCTGTTTATACAGATAATATTTGTGTTAAAAATGACTGTATGTCTCCAAAGTGTTCATTATGCTATATATGTAATATCTGTAAAATGAGTGTGTTTTCATTTTTCAGGTTTCAGTTATCGCCTGTTTTATTTTGATGTTTGGAAATCCAGTATACTTATCTTCTTACTATTTTTCATCTTTGTTAATGACATTGGTAAGTAATTGCTACTCTCATGAAGGTTGTTGTTTTCCCATGTTAAGAGCAGATTTTGTTTAACACAAGTATAAGAGAATAAATAGGGCCTTTTCCTAATTATTATGTGAAAAATTTTCCTAAATGATTTTTTCTTCTTCATCTTTGAAAAATAATATAGTACACCAGACTTTCTCAAAGCAACACCTAAGTAAATATTTCTAATATGATAACAATGAGACTTACTTTAAAAACTTCACTACTAAAAGAACTTATACTTTATGATAAAATGCCTTCTTTTCTCTTAAGTCACTAGGGTAACTGTTTATTATAGTAACAAAACCATTGTCTAGAACATTTTTGGAACTCCTTAAATTGCCACAGACTTTGGTACATTCCTTTGAATATTCTCTCTGATGTCAAAACTTCATCTTCAAGGTTGTATTTGATTTTTAGGATTGATCAAAATCTTATGAATAGTGTAGATGATTGGATTGGGTGATCCAGATCTTGGTCAAAATGTGATGTGACAGTCACTTAATAAGACTGAGTTCCCTGTGCTTATAACTGAGTTATCTTTGAAGGCAGTTTATTTTTTTTTTTTTTTTTTTTTTTGTTTTGTTTTTCTCCGGTACCGGGAACCGAACTCACGACCTTGCGCTTGCCAGGCAGACGCTTTTGCCGCTGAGCAAAATCCCCAGCCCCCTGAAGGCAGTTTAGAAGGTGGCATTCTGAACTACTCTGAGCAATGGCAAGATAATGAGAATAACTGTAGCCTCTGTGCATAACTCATTTGAATGTGAGCACTTAACTGATTGAATATTTTGGCATTGTTTTTAGGTTTTGACGTTTTTGCTTCCTCTGCCTTTTTTTTGCATCAAAATAATGAATAGTTTCTCTTCTTCCCCAAGTATATATGCTTACTTTTTCCAACATTGTGTCAAAACTTTCAGCTTTACCAGATGGTGGAACCCACATACTATCTACCTTTCTAGAGGGGTTAGCCTGCAAAACATATCCAGCGGAACTCAGTGGGTGTTAATGTGATTCAAGAGGCTACCTTGTAGCAGGGCGTCTAGCTCTCACTTCGAGGACATTTGTCACATACCTGCTCTAAAAAGTCAGCAACTGAGAAAGAAAATGGCTGGCGGCAGTTAAGATAAAAGAGTGTGGCTGTGTAGTGTATGAAATGTACCCATTCATATAAAATATAAATGTTAATGTTATTGATTTAATTTTCTGGCTCATGTATTTCAGGTGATAATTTTAAAGAGAAATAAAATTCATAGAATGGGAGTATCTGAACTCAACTTTTGGGTGAGGTTCTATGTTCTTAACTGAGCTTTAAATTTCAAGTTTTTATTTCTATGAATGAATATAGATGATATACTTGAAAAATGATTTATATTTAATAAGTCTAACAAAGAGCTTCTGTCGAAAGGCAATAGTCCTGAGCTAGCGTTTATTCTTTTTCTATGGGCTTTGAAGTGTTCCTGTTAAAAAATAAAATCATACTGAAAAGCCATACGTTTATATCATGTATTATATATTACATTAAACATTATATATTATTTATATGATATATTGAGAGAGTAAAACTAGAAAAGTTATGGTAAGATGAGGAGGCAGATTTCTACTCAGAATACAAAAGAACAGAATGGAAGAGTTGCCAGTTCTGCTTTCTAGAAGCAATCTTCTGTTCCTTGTGGTGGAAATATGGAAGTATTTGATAACTAAGTTGTTGTGGATAACATGACAATTATAATATGTGTTGTTTTTCAAGTCATAAAAATTGAGTAATTAGATAATTCAAAAGAAAGTCAAAATTTCAACTGCAAACTATTGAAAAATAACGGTAAATAAAATAGTGTCCATAAATTTTAAGGAATTTGGCCAAAGTTGTACTCAAAGGAAAATTTATTGTCTTAAAGTACATTTTATACTATGTTTCAAGCATAGACTACAAAAAATAAGAATTAACTAAGTTTTAAGTTCAAAAATATATAATAAAAACAAAAAATGAAGCACAAGAAATCTGGCTACAAATAGACATACTTTTGAAAATATGTCATATATTTGGAAAGAAAAAGTATATATATCTGAATAAATTTAACAAAATAGTAGTATATTTGCATGGGGAAACATTTTAAAATCTTAAGATGTAAAGATTATCCAAATAAATGGAAAACTAAGCCATATTATGCATAGGAAGGCACCATAGAGGGCAGTTTTTCCCAGCAGAAGTTTGGGTTGAAAGGAATTCCAACAGGATTACTTTGCAGGTCCCTTTCCAGGGAATGACGCTGGGATCCTCTGGTGTCTGTGCAGGGAAAAGTCACATTATTACAAATGGAAGTTCCAGCCAAAGCGATGGTAAATGTTTCCCACCAGATCCTTTGTCTCCTCGACATGCAGTTGTAATCCCTGAGTATACTGTGGCCAAACAAAATGCTCTGGCTCATCTTGTGGCTGCCTGGCCCAGCCCTGGAACCAGCCGTGGGTCCTGGTATTGAAGAATGGTGGCTTCCTCACTTCTTCACTTCCTCTTTCTTTTTTTTTTTTTTTTTTGGCATTCAGTGAATGCCGAAAAATGGTGAAAAGTGACTGATCATCTTTTGAATTTTTTGGGGGGAGGGGTCCTTGTCTCTAATTTGAAGTTTGTATTACTACCATTTTTCTGCATTTTAAGTCCCTGCTTTGTATCCATTCTCAATCTGCCAAGCCTTTTTTCACATGTATGGTGGATTCCCTCTTTCTCTGAGTACTTTGGTTCCATTTGGGTGCCCTTCTTCTCTTCCCCCTCTATCTCTCTTTATAGGTCTCCCCTTAATCTCTCCAGAGGCTTGGTCAGAAACAAATCTGTGTTACTGCCTTTTCTATTGACAGAGAATGTAAAGTTTGTGCTGTCACCTGTTTTCTGCATTTGTGGTTGTTATTTTTCTGCTTGTCAGATTTCATATGGAGAGATTTGGATTTAGGCTGCTGTCATTTCCCTCAGGCTGTCCAGATGTCTGTATTGGTTTTCTTTGTAATCAAGGGCAGCCAGAAAGCAAACACCAGAAACCTCGCTGTTAGCTTTAGTGCATATTTCTCTTTTGAAAAAGAAATTTTAAATTATCAAATTTTCCTTTCTTGAAGAGGGACTTATGCAGTTTTTTTTTCCAAAAGAGTAATAGAAGCATTTTAATACAGTGCTGTGAAATGAGGATTTTCAGCTAAGAAATAATATTTGAAAATAAGCATATGACCCCTATGATTACTAGAGATTACAATGAAATAACCTTATATTTTCCTCTAGGTTTATAATATGTAGAGCCCTTGTGTTCTTATACATTTTATAGCAGTGTCATCAATTTAAACTCTTTGCTATTAAATAAAATTTTCTAAAGGAGTATTTCTTTTTGAGAATTTACTATATATATTTCAATAATACGGTATATGTCACAGGATTAACATCTTTGTGTGACTTGTAGGCATAATTGAACATTTTAATTTAGATAGTTTTTAATTTGTAGTACTGGCCTTCTATTTTATTTTCTAGCTAATTCAAAGTTGTGGTTGGTGGCTTGGAACAATCATTTTGAAACTTCTGACTTCTGAAATCTTAGGCGTTTCAGATCACGTAAGTACTTTATAGTTAAAACATTACAGTTCCAACAAATATATAGCTGGATGAAAACTTGAAACAATCTATTCTTACCACTTAATTTTATAGAGGTTCCCATTTCTTCAAGGCCCCTGAGCTAATTATTAGGAGAATCAAATATAAAATCCTGCAATTCAAAGGTCTGTACAACCACTAGGGAAAAAATGTATCAGTGAATGCCGATTTAGTCTCCCAAGAAAAATCCTAATAGTTTGTTTAGCAGTTATTTGTAATATTTCAGGTGAAATAAAAATTGTCTTTTGTTTAATAGCTTTCCCATTTATTGCATATGTTAACATAGGAATAGTCTATACCCAGCCCTAAAATGCTGAACCTTTAAAAATCTCTATAGAACTGGATGTGGTCATACATGCCTGTCATCCCAGCACTCACACTGGGGGTGTAGCTCAGTTCAGAGGCCTGGGGTTTAATCCCTAGTACAACAAAATGAAACAGAGCAAAGCAAAGTAGAATAAAATCTCTATAGTTTTATTTATTTATAATTATGAAATAAAATTATGATTTTATATTTTAAGGTGTTATTGGTTTGTAAGTGAATGTTGGAAATTCTGTCTTTTTTTTTTAGAAATCATATACAGAGCCTTATCTCTCATGTGGTATTTCTGTTCAAGATTAATATCTTAAATAATGGCCTATTTAAAGGCCAAAGTTCCTGCTTAACTACCTAGTTTAGGGAATAGAAAACAATGTTTGATTTTTAGCCTTTATATTAAGAAATAAGCATGCATGAGCAGTTACACAATACTGTAGTATGAAACTGACCTTACCTGGTACCATCCGGTCAGGACCCTATCTAGTACTGAGATTATGTGAACTCCCTCTCAAAAAGGTCAAGTGTTACTGTTATCCAGTAAAACATACATCCATGCTAATGTTAAATAAAATTTTTAAATGGCAGCATTTATTTGCTGTTTTTACTAGCTTTGAATAGTGGTTTAGTTAGATTTATTTGTTTTTGTTGATCTCTGGTATATCTTTCAGGTTTCTTTTTTTTCTTTTCATTTGTCATAACTTTGTATTTTGTAGGGTATGATAAGCTTCATCTAGGCTTTATAAGTTATTTCTTTATCGATTACTCTGATTCTGTTTCTTGCCTTACTCTACATTTTTTTTTTACAAATCTTAAAAGAAAAACACACATCTTCCTTTGGTAGTTGTAAGTGACTTTCTTTAGCTGATAGATGTGAGAAAGACTTGAAATGCTGGTGGTCATTGTTAGTCAGCAGGTCTATTTTGAATTAGAAGTGCGAAGAACATCTCTAAATTATCTTTCATGCTGGTAGAGAAGAGAAATTGTGAATGAAAGAAAACATTGCTAATGATTAAACTTGGTGTAATTTCTGTCCCTATCAAATAATTTGAATGCATGCTGCACATGCTAAATATTTTCCTTTTCCTACCTTCTGAGAATTCAGTGGAAAAATACTTGTCTCACTGACAGTAGGTAACCAAGCAACACATCAAGAAATGAAAATGTAGTCAGTGTAGGAGGCTTGATGAAAATATCAAGGCATAGAAAGTTGTAATTTACAGTGTGTAAAATGAAAGTGGTAATTGGATTCTTTTTCATGATAAATTAATGTCATGGTTAACTGAAAGGTGGTTTCTTCCCAACAAGTGTTGATTTTAGCTTTATTGTCTTCTCTGCTTATTTTTTTTTTACCTATTTCTATTTTTCTTTTTTTATATTTCTCTTTATTTTCAGTTATCTTGATAATTCAGCATATAATACATTTTATTCTCTGCCTTTTCCATTTGGTTTCTGAGACATATCTATTTATTATTCTTATAGCAAGTTAGTTATGGGCTATAATCATTTGTGTAATTCTAATTCATTTTACTCTATTTTCTTCCAGATTAGCCTGACTCACCTTATAGCAGCCAGAATCTTACGGGATATAAATTTTGATACCTTAATGTATGCCTGTGCTCCTGAATCTTATTTCATGGAACAAGCGGTATGAATATTTCTCTATTTTTTCACTTTTAACAGGTATGGTAGACTTTACTCTTCAGTTTTCCTTTTTGTGTGAAATTCAAAATTTTTACTCAGATATACCAAATTTATTTACTCTGCCATCTTTGACTATAACATTTGGTAACCATATGGCATTCTTCACCTGTTTTACCTGTAAAGTCAATAGGTAGTAGGCTTTATCCTTAAAAAATGGTTAAATATGATAATCTAGATAAAGTAGCTCATAAATAGAACCCATAGTAGTTACTCTTACTGCTGATGAATGACTTTCAATAATTGAGGCCAGTTTCAGATGCAGGGCCATTCAGGAGACTAAAATCCACATTCTTGTATTTGTTTGGAAGAAATGAAGTTTTATTGCATTTAGTATCCCAAATATCATTAAAAATTTTAACAGAGTATTGGTAATGGCTTTTAATAAGTACACAAAACTCCTTTTAAATTTTAGAGACTTAAAATACATGGTCTTATCCTTTTTTAAAAATGCATAAATTGTTAAGCTTTTAAATATTTATCTCCTTAGAGGGCCGTGAAATATAAGACCAGGAAGGGATCTTAGTGACTATGTAATATAATTTTTCCACTTGCAGATGAAGAAGACAAAGCTTAAAAGATTTGCCTAATGTGCACACAGGAGCCAGGATTAACACATGGGTTCTGGTGGATCCTGGCACTCCCAAGCCAGTGCACTTTCCTTTGCCTGAGGCTTTTTTCTTCATATAACAGGAAAAAGTTGTCACTGGATCATCCTTGTTTAATAATGATGAATTCTGAATTAGTGATAAATGTAATAATGAAATTTTGCATTCTCTTCTTCATCCAATCAGTTGTTCACTTATTCAGAAACTTGTTATTGGCCACTAATTGTCCAGCAGGGTTTTGCCATAGGCCAGTGAAGAAGAAAATGACCTGGTTCCTGCTTTCAAGAAATATAGTTCAGTTACATGGCAGGTCACTCTCTATCACAATAAGAGGTTATGAGGATTATTTAGCTGATATTACTTCTACATTTACTCGTACTTCCAGTAATTACTTTGACTAGCTTTGTTTCTTGTTAGATTAACAGATGAAAATAATAGAACTTTGCAGTATAGGAAATGACAATCTTTAATAGTTATATCATTAATCTTATTGAACATTTTGTATAACTAGTTTATAATTTTGATTCTTATATTAGAGTGTGTAAGTTTATAAATATGTATTTTGCTAATGACATTTTACCTTTAAGAAATATTATGACACTCACTTTACATAGATTTTTACTAAGTTAATGTAAAGTTCAGTAACTATTTTGAATAATTTGCTCTATTTCAGACTCCACTGAGGTACACAAAAACGTTATTGCTTCCAGTTGTTATGGTGATTACTTATTTTATCTTTAAAAAGGTATTTTCAAAAAATTTTTCCTCACTTATTTTTAGGTTCAAAACAGGAACTATAGTAGATTAATTATAATTGCTCTCAATTCTTTATTTTTAAGTTGGATAATACTCTAAATTTTTTAGTCAAGGTTTTATCTAGTATTATATTTGTTTTTATAAAGATCCACATTGTTAATGATATTTTTACTTATTCTTTGAAAAGATTTTGCCAATCTTCTACTGTGTAGGGGAACTGCATTAACATTGTAGGTGCTCTGGAGAAATAAAGCATGGCCACCTCTGTCTTGGGCAGTCCTGGGGGATGGAAAGTGGAAACATTAAGCAAATAATCATATACATAACTAAAGAATTCCAATTGCAATAGGTACTAAGAAAGAAAAATATAGTGACTATTTCAGTATCCTTCACATGTAAAGCACATTTAAAGAACTCGATCTATTTTGAATATAGACAAGCTAGGAAAAATTTGAAGAAGCATTTATTTTCTTTTTTCTTTTCCTTGTCCTGTTCCTTCTAGCCCTCCCTCACTTCTTCTTTTTTCTTTTTTAAAATACAGTCTTGCTATGTATTACAGGCTAGTCTGGCACTTACTGTCTTCCTGTCTCAGCCTCCCAAATGCTGAGATTATAGACATTCCCACCACACCCGACTTTGTACAGACAGTTAAATTATCTTTTTCTGCACATTGAGTGTTTTTGCAGCATAAGTAAGAAAATCATAATAGAAGAGATAATCTTTAAAATACCACTGCCACATATGCTTGGTCTGGGAGTGATGTGTCTGAAAGTCCATTTCATGACAGAGGGCCTGTCTTGGTTATTTTTTGTTGTTGTTGAGACAAACTATCAAACACCTAAAATTGGGGAAGGAAAGGTTTATTTAACTTAGAGTTTGTAGAGGTTTTAGTCTATATTTGTCTGGCTCTGAGGCAGAGTGGTACAGATTAGAGGGCAAATGTTTATGGCGGTGGAAGATAGCAAAGCAACAAGAGCAAAGGAGGGGTGCAACAAACCTTTTTTGTTTTATATTTAAGCAGGCTACTCCCACCCAGGGGGTGTGTAGCACTCATAATCTCTATGCACTTCTCTTGCACAGGCTCAGGATGTATGTAAAGTAAGTACCCGGCCTGCTCAATCACTTTAAAAGGTTAACCTTTTAAACGTTTTACACTGACACAATGAACAACATCTTAGAGCAGGAAGGGCATGATCTTTTTACCCCAGGATGTAGAACTGCTGAGTTACTTAGTTAAGCTTTTAGACTCCTCAAGTTGACACAAAGTATCAACCATAACAATCCACCCTTTGTCAACTTGGCAACTAGACACATTTTTTTAAACCAGTTTTTAAATATAAAGACATTATTTTTATTATTTTATAACTTGCACATTATTACACAGTTTAACAATCTTTAAGGACCAGTATTTAGTTTATTAACATTATATTATATTACAACCATAACATTTTGCCCCCCAAAGACTTGTGTATATTTTTTTATGTAAAACGCATTTTAGTTTATCTCCAAGACTTGCCAAAGTCTTAACAGTTATAACATTGTTAAAAAGTTTAAGCCTCTTGCTTTTTTTGTGATGTAAGGCAAACTCTTAGTTGTAAGCCCCTGTACAAATGAAAAGTTAAACACTTTTAACATGTAATGGCACAAAAGAAACATTATCATTTTAAAATGTATAAATGGGGATATAAAGCATTGGGACTAAAGCAAGTCGAAATCTAGTAGGGCTAACATTATGTCTTGTAGTTTTATGTCGAGCATTTGAATCAATCTGTGGCACACTGTGAGCTCTAAAGGGTTTGCATAACTCTACCCCATGGTATTTTTGGTGGTTATAGCTCTGATGGCTTTTTTTTTTTTTTTTTTAGGTCCACTTTGTAGCTTTTTTAGACAATCTATATTTTTGGTTTTCTTAAACTTTTGAGGTTTTTATTATATCTTTTGTTTTATATTTATAGTTTTACACACTGTCCTCTCAGGGGCACACTGCCTGGCTTCCTAGGCCTTCTGAAATCAAGGTGGAAGCTTTTTTAACCTCAGAACTCTTGTATTTTGTATGTGTCTAAAACCAGTGTCACGTGGGTGATGTCAAGGTCTGTTGCCACCTGGAGCAATAGCCAAGCTTTTTTTTTTGGCCATAGGGGTTGTGTCTGGATTGTTGGGCACTCTGAATCAAATTTTGAGGAACAAATTTTTTATGCCGCCACCATTTGGGAACCTGGTGCAGCCGCTGCCGCCATTTTGGAACGTGGAGCTCTGCAGCATTTGTTTTTAAAGCAAAGCCTTTTCCTTTGCAGTTTTTAGGCTGGAAAGGGTGGAAACTTGTTGCTCTTTGTGATGTCCTTAAACCATCTTTTTGATTTTTTCCCTATTTTTCTTAGCAATGGAGATCTCCTCAGCCTTATCTTTGTAGTCTATAGCTTTACTGGAGCTTTTTTCTTTTGGCCAACTGACCATTTTAAATCATCTTGCTGTCCTCTTTGCTCTTGATTTTTAATATAAATCTGGCTAAAAGCCCCCAACTATAGCCATGCCACTGTCACAACATTCGACTGCCTTGAATTTTTCTTTGCCAGATTAATCAGTCTGCTGCCGCCCTTAATCCCAGTCTCAGGCAAATTTTCTGGACGCAGCAAAATGCAGACAAAGTTTTGCCAAGCCATAACATACATCATCTGGAATCTAACAACCAGTGCAGTCCTTCTTCCCAGCAGAAACCTCCTGGGCCCGATCTTTACCAGTAGGATTTTTATCAGCCTGCTGGTCTTCTGAGCTCTGACCAGAGTCTCCCACACAAAATAGCTGAAAGTGTTTGAGCTCTGTTCTTTTAGGTGACATCTCCAAACCTTTCTGAACACTTGCCACAAACCAGAGGCTCTTGAGCCAAATGTCAGGTACAGTCACAGCAATGATCCCACTCCTGGTACCAAATTCTGTCTTGGTTACTTTTTTGTTGCTGTTGAGACAAAATATGTAATGCCCAAAATTAAGGAAGGAAACTTATTCAGTGTACAGTTTGTGGAGGTTTTAGTCTATATTTGGCTGGCTCCAAGGCAGAGTGGCATGTGGCAGAGGGCAAACATTTATGGCAGTGAAAGATAGCAAAGCAACAAGAGCAAAACGGGGAGGATGGGCAACAAGCCTCTTTTGTTTTATATTATAAACAGGCTACCCACACCCAAGGGGTGTGTAGCACTCACATAATCTCTATGCCCTGTTTTTACACAGGTTCACAATACATATAAAATAAAAATCCTGGCCCCCTGCTCAATCACTCATTTAACCTTTTAAACTTTTTACACTGATACAATAAAGAACATCTTAAAACAAAAAAGACATATCCTTTTTGCCCAAGGGATAAAACTGCTGAGTTACTTAATTAAGCTTTTAAATTCCTCAAGTTAATACACCATATCAACTTTAACAGGGCCCTTAGAGGTTTGTTTTTCTTTTTTTTAAACAAGTTTTATTCATATTTTTTACCAGTTGTGTTGCCTTACCTCAACATGTATTTATTTTATACTTTTTAGTAGATACCCATAACATTATTTCTCTACCACCATAGCAGTAGTGATTCTGTTGAGAAGAGTTTTCTGTATTTAAAGGGAAACTGCATATTTTCTGCATATGTTCCCATGTCACATGCCTCATTCCTTAGTTTTCACATAGAGTATGAATAATTTATGTGAGCAGGCACCTCCATTACATCTGTATTATTTCCCCCTTGGTCTAGTTTCTTAGAGACCAGTCAGAGACAGGTTAGAGTGTCACTGCGTTCTGGGATTCTGGAGTCTCCTTAAAGAGGTGTTTTCTAGGTTCTTTCCTCAACAAAGAATTGGTAAAGACAAACTTTTAGGTGGCAAGGTTTTACATGTATTAAAGGTATGAAAAACAAATAAACATGCTCTGCAGAGCACGTTTTCCTCAACTAAAGGCAAGAAAGGAGGCACACCCTGCAAAAAAACAGGATGGATCACTGAAAGTGTCAACAGTGGCACCCAGCTTGATGAAAGCTGTCTTTTGTATCTTCCAGTTCTCAGGGAGAGTCAGGTCTAGGCCATCTTATCAAAAACATGCCTGGGTTTTTTCCAGAAGCACTGAGGATACCATTGTTTGATTAGTTCCCAGTGAAGGACTCTGGAAAGTGTTCTGCACATGGTGTTCTGGAACTCAGTGATAATAGATCACGCCCACTTTCCTGGCCAGCTTGGCGTGCCCTAATCTGACTCAAGAGGAAATAAGAAGGAGTGGGTTAAGTGGGAACAAGTTAGCTGCTCTCCATTTCCTGGCCAAAAATTTTCCCAGTATCCATTTCTGTTCTATCATAGCCAGTTATGGCATTCTTACAGGGCTCCTCTTGCAGGCTAATAGGTGAATGCACTTTGTTTTTAGTGGAGAGACAGCCAGTGTGGGAGAAAGTGCTAGGTAGACGTGTTATTGCTGTATTTTTTAAAAACTAAGAATCAAGATTCATAAGCACATGAGTAATGTGCAGATACACCACACACCACAACCCATACTGTACATGTGCAGTAGCAACTGTTCTCTTTCTCTCTCTTTCTCTCTCTCTCTCTCTCATACTCCCATCCCTGCCATTACCAAAGCTTCTCTCCTCTCTGCTTACTTGAAAATCATTCATTATTTGTCCTGTTGGGGATTCTTTCTCCCTTCAAGGATATTGCTGATGTTCATGGAAGTTGTCACTTCTACACAATCACTTCTTAGGAAAGATGGTGTGTCTGGTGTGACATTCCAGTGACTGTACAGAATTTTAAACTCATGGAAATGATTGTTTTATCATTTATACCCTCAGGTTGGCATTTGCTTGTCCAGAGGACTAGAATCTCATTTATGTCACTTCAAGCATGATAAATTATAGCATTCAGATGTGCTTACGTTCCTATAAATTTGACACATTCTTCTGTGAAGGATGCTTTTGAATCAGTGAGAGAAGTTAGGAAGTCTAAACTTAGATTTCATTTTCAATTAGAGTCACGATCCAACTATTTTTTTGCATGTTTATCTTTGAGCTATAAGCCACTTACCCTGTGGAGAGAGGCATTTTAAGTTAGCCTTAAAAGTTTTGTGTTTCCTGCTGTCTTCACTTGGGCCAACTCTACATTTCCATTTCATGCTTCCACTTTTCCCATGCTCACCTTTACTGGGTCCATTCTGATGAGTTTCATAAGCCTCCTGTAGCAGTCACACCGGCTTGGAAGAGTAACCAGGGAGGCTTATATATTCATACCTAATTCATTATAATTCAGAGTTTTGGCTGAAATAAAACATGGGCCAGTGGGGTAAGCGAGAAAGCCTCACTTGCTAGCAAGGCTCTGCAAATGCACAGGAGAAGCTGCCATCTGTGTGCACAACAATGTATACCCCTCTATTCCCCTACCCAGTAAAAAATGTGAATTTTAACATTAGAAGTAGTTATCCACTTCAGAGGAGCCTGGGATTTCAGAGCTCAAGTGTACTTGAAGATCTGTTCTTTCTTTGTAGAGCAGAAAATTATCATTTAAAGAAGCAGTTTGCCTTTGACAAAGCTGGGATTTCACTGTTCCTGAAAACTCACTTTAACATGAAAAAATGCTTCTTCTGTTCACAGACTATTCGTGACGTTTTATGTGCCTTATCTACAAACACTTACCTAAGGTAACTCTACCACAATTGTGTTAATGACATACCACATTGATGATTAAATAACTTAATGAAATATTGATTTTTCTATATATGTATATCTTTATATATGCATACATTAATCTTTACCATTATGATTAAGAAAGGAAATAGGAACCAAATTTACATGTTTTATGGAAATACTGCTGTTCTTATGGATTCCTTTTTATTTTAACTTGTGTTGCAAATACTGTGTTTGTGAAATAACTCAAAATTTAGATTGATTTAATTTATATCTTCCTTATGTTTTGTAATGGTCTTTGAATTCTACTGTTCTTCAACATGAGGAGCCACCATGTATCTAGCTATTTCCTTACATATGGATATTTAGATTATATTTAACTTTTGTTCTAGCAACCAGTACTATGAGTAGTGAACATCCTTGCATATATACTTTTGCACACTTAAATAGCATAGAGTCTAAAATGGGGCTGTTAGATCATAAGGTATGAACATTTTATAATTTTGTAAAAGTTGCAAAATTATAGTAGTAAAAATGCCCATTTTCCTGCATTTGTATGCATGCCAATACTATCAAAGTTTAATTAATTAATTATTTATCTTGGGTACCAGGAATCAAACTCACAACCTTACACTTGCCAGGCAGGCAGTTGTGTCACTGAGCTATATCCCTGGCCCCTCAAAGTTTAAACCTTTTCTGATTATTTTATAAGTTTTTTTCAGAAAAGTTCTGCATGTTTTCATAACATTTTTGGCTATACTTCTTCTTGACTTTTTAAAGAAGGTTTTTAAATTGGTGTAGTTCCATTTATCTATCTTTGTTTCTATTACCTGAGTTTTTGAGTGATAGTCAAGAAAACCCCACCAAAAAGTAATGGTATGAAAGTTTTCTTCTACATTTTCTTCGAGGCATTTTATAGCTTAAGTCTTAATCTTTAATTGGAGGTGATTTTTATGTGTGTGATCATGTAAGGGTTCAATTTTATTCTTTCTATGCGTATTTGTAGTTTACCTAACACCATATGCTGAAAAGTTCTAAGGAAGAGATTACCTTTTCTCCTTAGGTAGCATTGATACAGTGGTCAAGGATCAGCTGATTGTAGAAGCATCAATTTATTTCTGGACTGCTCTCTGCTTTTCCACCAGTATGCATGTCAGACTTTATGCCCAAGACATAAAGTTATGATTACAGGCTTCAAAATATATTTTGAAGTCAGGAAATGTTATACCACTAAGTTTGTAACTTATTTTCAAGATTGATTTGGCTGTTCACGAACTTTTGTGTTTCATACTTTTATGGAGTTATTGTTGTTTTTTTCCATTTCTGCAGAAAATGCCATAGTGATTTTGGTACAGTGCTGAGCCTATATATTGTTTTGGGTGGGCTATATTTCCATTTATTTATGTCTTCTAAGTATCTTTTGTTGATATTTTATAATTTTCAGAATGATACTTTTTAGAGAGTATAGAGATGGTTTATTTTCTGAGTGCTTCCTTAACTGAAAAGTGCAATAATTTTGCCCTCGTGTTCACCTGACAGATTGTTTAGTGGCTATGTCTGAGTTTTATTCAACATTTTGGAGGTGTGTGTGTATATGTGTGTGTGTGTGTGTGTGTGTGTGTGTGTGTGTGTGTATGTGTGTATAAGAGAGGGAGAGAAAGGTTTATTGCTAAGGATATTATAATTTGAGCACTGAAATCTTTTTTCAGCATGGGAATTTTTTTCTTTCTGCTTGCGTTAGGTTTTCTTTAACTTTGTTATTACTTATATTATATTATCTCTTTTTTTCTATGTTCTCAGAATCTCTGGCTGGATTCTAATTTACCAACTTCAACTGTATACATTCTGATTTTTTAAACCATAGTTTTGGACTTTAAGTTATGAAAATTTGTTTTCTCCAGAATTTCTGCAAGCTCCTTTTCATTGTAACTTATCTAACTGTATGAATGTGCTATCCTCTCAAACTTAACTGAGGATAATAACTGGAATTTTCATTTAATACTCTTTTATTTCTTGCATTAATCCTATTTCCTGAAAGGTCAGAATTTTTACTTCTTTTATCTGATGTTTAGCTTTCTTGCTGTTGTCATCCTGAGTATGCACATCTGGAATCAGCTGTTATATTTATTTACATCAGTACTTATGGTGTACGGGAGGACATCCTTGGCAGTTATAATTGTTACTCCCTTCCTGGGCTTCTTCCTTGCATGTAGCAGCTCACTGCAGAGTTCTGCTGTGACTGGAAGGTTTCTGGAGCAGTGGGGGAAGCGTCCCTTGCTTGGCTGCATCGGAGGCAAGAAGCTACTGCAGAACCCGGGTAATGTGGTGAGGCCCCTGCTGACTCAAGAGAGCTTCCCCTAACCACTCTTATTTAAATATGCAAGTCTTTGTGCCCTTGAATTTCTTTTGAATGCTATCTTAGTTCTCTCTCCTACCGCAAAATTGGTATTAGAAGGCGTTTGCACCCTGTAAAAACTTCTATAAAATATCCAGTGCAACAATAAAATGTATAGTCTCTTACCTCTTTTGTGAGTCTAACATAAGCACTATGAGGATAAGAATGATACCTATCTCATTCCTACTGTACTCACTACACAGTGGTGTAAGCATTTAGTAAATCAGGATCCCTTTGCTGGAACTAAAAATAAATTTGTCTACCCAGTAATTTTTCTTGTAGAACTTTTTCCTAAGAAAATATTCAGAAATGCTCACAGAGGTTTATGTACAAAGATGTTCATGTGGTTTATAATTATGAAAAATCAAAATTACAACAGTAGTTATCTCAAGTATTATGTTTATGATACATATCTTGAATATGTAATACAACGAGTTTCTATTCATTTATCCTTGCAGAGGTACAACAAAACTTCTGGGAATCAGTAAAACCCATTTTATCTTAACCAAAGAAGAACTTCTGAATAAACTTTATATAAGATGACTGTAAATTATGCTTTTTAAAGTAATGCAGTCTGTAGTAGTGTTATCTAATCTTTATTTTTGTTTTATGCTCCCAACTCATTTAGAGAAAATCAAGTTTCAAAAATCTAAGAATAAATGAAACTGTTCTTATATAATCATACTCTAGTGAACATTCAGTAAATAGATAATATTTCTGTTTTATTCCAGAAAACAGCTCCTTGAACATGGTGAGGTAAAGGTCTCCTCATTTCACTCTGTGGTAGGCTACTGCATTAAATTCTAGTTCAATATAATTCACGAGGGCGCCGCCTTGCTTGAGTTGTTGAGCAGTGGTAATGCATTGCTGCTGAGCCTTCTGTGCAGTCCGCTCTCACTCTGAATAGTAGTAGGGATTTGTAAACCAATTTGGAAAATATAGAACAGTTACCATTCAGAAATAATATCAGTTTACTTTTAGTATGTCTTCATACAACATCCTCTCCTACACCACTCTGTGTATACAGATATTTTCAAGTTTTTTTATAGAGCTAGTATTCTATGCAGTTTTATATCCTAGAAACTTTTCCATGCCATTGAATAATATTTTAATGTCATTTTTATTAGCCATGTATCTGTAGAAATGTAGCAATTTGTTTCTTATTCCTGTTTATTAGTCACTTGTTTCCCTTTTTGCTGTTAAAAATACACTTCAGTGATAATCTTTTGTAGCACATCTGTGTTTTGATTATTCACTTAGATAAATTCCTAGAATGGCAGTTGAAGTCAAAAGAGTCGGCTCTTGTCTAAGTTCTGACAAATAATTTGAAAGATCACAATGTACCAATTTATCATTTTAGTGTTTGTTTTGTTGCAGTCTCCCTAACACACAGTATAAATATCAAATCAATTTTGTAAATGGAAATACCTCATTTTCTTTAACATTTAATTTGAATATTAGTGAATTAGAACATAAATATTTAGTTACTGTCTGCTTTTTGTTGCATTAGCTATTTGCCCTTATTCATTGTCCCAGTTTCTAGTGAGGTGGTATTTTATAAATATCTGTTAGAGAAGTTTTCTTTGAAACCTTTGCTCAGTAGAATTGTCATGTAGATCAAAGCAGGGTGCCCTGCAAATTAGTACATATATTGATATGTATGTCTATTCTTTTTAAAATGATCAAGTACCTGTGCTGCTGTCACTCCTGGTATTGACTGAGTGACCGTTTGTGTGACAAGCACTCTTCCCTATATCTGTCCCTAGGCTCACCTCTCACACTGTGCAAATCCTTGCTCGGATGGCACCTTTTCAATGCAATCCATGTAGTGTAATCATCTTACAGTACAGCTCCCGCCTGTGGCCACAGCGCGCCCTGCAGTCCTGGGCTCTTTCTCTCGCCCAGGCTCTTGGCCGTGCACTCACCTCTCTGTACTGGGCTGGAACAGGTTCATTTACTTGCTGGGTCCACTTGTTACCAGCCCTCCCTAAACACGCTAAGTCTCAGCCTGACAAGGGCGAGAGTTGCTCAGAGTTGTATCTGAAGCCCCACAACAGTGACTGGCTTTAACAGACATTCACTGGATCTTTGTTAATGAATAAATGTTAATAGGCATAATAATATGTCAGATCTTTGGCCTAATAAATAATAGTAGTTTTAATATACAGACTTATTTGTTGTAAAACACATAAAGTGAAAGTGTCATTGTGTTTTGTATTTTTACAGCTGGTTTTTCACACACTGCAGTTGTTCGCATTTGCAGCCCTTGCCGTTTTGATTTTGAGGCTGAAGCTGTTTCTGACACCACACATGTGTGTAATGGCTTCCTTGATCTGCTCTCGACAGGTAAGGGGTCCATTGTTGTACAACTGGACTATGATAACTGAGCAAACACAGTATGGTTGCCGGGGCTTTGCTGGGTGGTCCAAAACGTAAAAGGACTGTGTGTTTTTAAATTAGCTAATCTAAATTGTTTAAAATGATAGTTCATGACTCACTGAGTATGCAAAGTGAGTCAGCTGTCTTTGAAAATGATTGCTAGAGTGTAGGCCATGTTTCTATGACGAGTAAAGCAGCACTTTCCCCTCTGTTGGTGTCCTGTCCTCAAACACAGTCTCCAGCCTCCAGAGCCACCCTGTGGTACCTGTACAGCCCTAAGCAGGTGCTGGGGAGTGCCTCTGAAACAGTCCTGTTTGGCTCAGAGAATCCTAAGAGCAGCCATCAATTCTGTGGTTCTCTTACTGTATCTAATGTACAAAATCGCTAGATAAATTAGCTAGAATTGTGTCACCTCTAGAAGCACCTACATTTTGATTATGAGTGTGTAAAAGTATCATGATCCTATTTTCCTGAGAGGGGGAAAAATATATATATATATATATATATATATATATATATATATCAATGCTAGTAGATTTTTCATAATTAATCAAGACATTCATAAAAGGCAGCCACATGTTAAAGGATTGGTTCTAGGATGTTTCAAAATTGTGCTCATCTAGGGGCTGGGGATTTAGCTCAGTGGTACAGTGCCTGCCTGACAAGCACAAGGTCGTGAGTTTGATTCGTGGTACCGAAGAAATACAAAAACAAAACAAAACAAAATAAAACAAATTGTGCTCATCTTATCTGCTGATTGTAAATTGGTGCTAGAAGGATTAGGTATTCCTTCCGTAATTATTTTTAGAGGAGAGAAAGCTCCATTTTATCTGGGCCAAGTAATCCAAACATATTTGTTGTTCTTAAGCAATAGGTAATGCTAATTATGTGTTTGTTTTGCTGATAGCAAAACATAATCTGCCTTGGCTTTAGTAGTAAGATGAGAATTTATGTTTGACTTTATCATATTCTTTGTATAAGAATTAAAAATAAACATTTTCTTAATCTATTTCAGCTCTTTGGCTGGCTTTTTCGTAGATTTCGTTCTGAGCGTGTTATCTTTGGCATTCTAATTGTGATGTCAGTACAAGGTTGTGCAAACCTACATAATCAGTGGAGCATAAAAGGAGATTTCACTAATTTGCCTCAGGAAGAACTTCTACAGTGGATCAAGTACAATACCTTACCAGGTATGCAACTATTTCATTATGTGTAACCTCACTTTTATGTATATTTAGGTATATTTCTAAACATTTAGCATTCTTTACGTGTGTGTGTGTGTATGTGTGTGTATGTGTGTGTGTGTGTGTGTGTATGTGTGTGTGTGTAGTTAGATTTACAGGAGTTAATTTACAGTTTTTTGGCTTTACAGTGGGGTGGAAGCAATACACATGCAAATAAATGCAAACTGTGCTTCAAACCTGAATTGTGATCTTTCCTAGTCTAGGCCTAATAGTCTGTTGTGATACTGTGTTGCCAGCATTTCACAGGTACTGTATTTTGTGTTTTCCTTCGAAGTTAACACTGAAAATACTTACTGATACTTGAAAATAAACATTTGGTTGTTTGGTAGACCTGAATAATATGCATTGTTTTTATTACTGATTTTATTGTGCTGATTAAAAATGATTATATCTTTCCTAAGAACATGAGCATTTATTGTACAAAAATGTCAGGAAGTAAGCATTTGGTTGTTTTGGTCTTCCAATAAACAAAACTGAAACTGACATCAGGTGGTAGATCTTGATATAGTCCTAGTTATGACCAAGTGCATACATGCCACGCGAACAGTGCCACTAATAAGTAACGAACTGGCTTGATGAGATGTGTAGGTGATCTAGACTCAGCAACTAAGAGAACATAATGATGAATATTTTCAGGCCATCTGAGGAGAGACCACAGTATTCTCCTCGGGCACATCCACAAGACCATAGGCTTCATAACACACAAGGTCATTTTGGAAATACGCCATGAGACTTGCCTTTCGTAGCAGTCTCTCATTTCCTACCATTCAAAATGCTTTAACTTCACAAGATAGGAAACATCCCCTTCTCGCTATTCCTGTATGTTGCTCACATGTGACAGGAAGCTGCCACCCAGAGGCCCAGAGGCTGAGCTGTGTGTTCTTTATCCGTGCAGTCTTGGTGACTCACTTCGCTTTGCTGTGTCTTTTTCTTCACCTACGCAGTGAGGGAAGTGTAGCTTTCCCCACAGAGGTGTGCAGGTGGAATCACTTAATCCTTGTGAAAATAGAGCATAGTCCCTACTGCCAGTGTAACAGAAGTTAGTTATTAGACTAGCAGGCAAGCGTAACTACTGAGTGAATAAAAGGAATGCTGTCAATGGTTATTTTATATATATTTATATATATATATTTTTTCTTTCTTTTTTTTTTTTTTTCCTAGAAGTAAACCCAGCGCTTTGTATATGCAACACAAGTACTTCACCACTGACCTTCACCCCAAGCCCTTGTGGTTATTATTTATCTTTCTTTCTTAACTTGAATCATTGAATTCAAATACTGCGGATAATTTTAACTTGGTTTTTTTGATTTTCAGATGCTGTTTTCGCAGGTACCATGCAGACAACAGCGAGCATCAAGCTGTCCACACTGCACCCCATTGTGAACCACCCGCACTACGAGGACGCAGACATGAGGTTGGCACCTGTTGACCATCTCACCCTGACTCATGCTCTGCCTGCTGCTGGTTCTCGCGAACAGGGGGTGTTTGTCCGTGCACACGCACACACACACACTCACACTCACCCATGCGCACACACACACGTACTCATCTCATATTCGTTTTTTGCAGTTTCAAAAAAATCTGTAGTAATCATCCAGAAATAACAGTATAAGCCTGTTTCCTCTGAAGCTGTTTTATTTATTTATTTATTTATTTTATTTTAAAGATAATAAATTAATAAAAAATACCAAGAACATAGACAAAAACAAAACAAAGCAATAACAATAAAATGATAGGGGGTTTCAAAAAAAATGACAGGGATTAACAGTGATTGTTGCATTACATATTGCTGTCTCCAACGAAGTTCTTCAGATTACCAGATGTAAGAATTCAAAATTGATCAAACCATTAAAGAGGATAAAGAATAATAAAAAAAATGAGAAATAATACAGAGCTTTACTAGACAAGATGGTGGGAATTCACCAATGCTTGTTATATTGCATATTGTTGTCTTCAAGTCAGGAGCAGTTTTAATAAACCTCAGAAAAGTGAAAAAAGGAAAACTTACTTTTGCTTAGTGAAAAATGTGTCACAAATATAGCATAGAAATAGAGACAGACAGTGATGACAGGGGACTGTTTTAGGAAAATTCATTAAGCAGCAGTGGGAGGAGGCTGGATGACTCACAGCCTCTGCTGTGAACTCACAAGGCCCTTTGCCCGACAGAAGAAACATTCAAGATCTTACTGGTGCCCAATGACTTTTTTTAAAGCAGGAAAATAAAGTATATGGAATTTGCCATGTTGTATACTTTGATAAAAATTGAAAGTATTTTGCTAGCTGAATGTGAAAGCTATAGTGTATGTTAAGAGCCAAAAGTTTTGTTTTCTTTACATGGCTGCCTTTTAAAACTTATATTGATCATTCTGTTAATTGTCAGGGTAATCTTTTCTTCTTTAGGTCTATTGTTAGAGGCAAATTTTTAAAAGTTTTATGGCTGGTTATGGTGATTAGGTACCCCATATTGCTCCAAATGCTAAGGAATATTTAATGTACAAATGATCATTTATTTAACATTGCATAAGAATTCCAGCTTAAGACCAAACTATGTCCTGTACTGTAGCTTAGTGAGCACCTGTGATTCTGTAAGGTGCTTTTCCTTTTTTATGTGCATATTTATTTTACCTTTTCTTTTTTTTTTTTGCAGTGCTGGGTATTGAGCCCAGGGCCTTTTTCATGCTAGGCAGGTGTCTCCCACTGAGCCACATCTCCAGCACTGTGAGGTGCTTTTTTTTCTTTCTTTTTTTTTTTTTTTTTTTTACCTACTCCAACATCCTAGATGTTCACTGTATACATATTGTATTTGCTTTATTCAACTTGAACTCACCTATTTTTCTGAATTTCTATAAATGAAATTCTCTATAGTCTTTAACTACTTTCACTCTATCACAGTATGTTCCATGTGCAAATTAATTATTTTGTGGAGTATGTGAAGCACAGTTTATATCCTGAGCTCTTATTGTGCTACCTAGTACAACTTTAGGTGAGAATGAATGCTGAAAAGCAGCATATACAAATTCAAACTGCTCTAAGTTTTTGCATGTTCAAAATTTAAGGAGGAATGTGGAAAGGGCTATCACAAAAGTAAGTTATATTATTTTCATGTACATCAATAGTCCATCCAGTAAGGGTTGTAATCTCAAGTTGCTAGCATAGCAAGTTTTCTTTAATCCATTATCATTTACTCAAAATTCTGCTTACAGTTGTTACCATTTCAATTTAAAGGGCCCGAACAAAAATAGTTTATTCAGTGTATAGTCGAAAATCTGCAAAAGAAGTGAGAAATCAGTTGCTGGCATTACATGTGAATTACTATGTTTTAGAAGAAGCATGGTGTATTTGGAGAACCAGGTGAGTGTTAAAACTGTTTAACACGATGCTATATCATGTGTCATATTTTAAAGCAACAAATGTTTTACTCTATTACAGTAGTCCTGATATTTCAAGACTTTCTATTTTCAATGAATTTCATTAAACTGTTAACCTGGGGTTCTAGCTAAACAAGATAGGTAACTTAGATAAGTAAGATCATACTGTCTTTTAAGTAGAATGTAATTCAAAAGTACAATTTTCTTGCTAGAGTTAGCAGACAAGAACACTAGACCAGTTAAACAAATTGCAGCCCATATAGCCAAAAAGATGAAACATGGGAAACATTTTTTAAAGAGCCATGTTGATCATGTAATTGTGAAAAATCAGAGATGCAAAATATGCTGGGCAAATTCATGACAAGGCCGAGGATGTAGCTCCGCAGCATAGTGCCTGGCCTGGCAAGCACAAGGTCCTGAGTTTGATTCCCAGTACAAAAAAAAAAAAAGACAGATACTAAGATAATTTAAAAACAGGTATTGATAGATAAGACATGGTTAAATCATTTAACATCAAACCTATTCTAAGTGTTAAATATCTCATATACATGCTCAGGTGAGTGTTTTGTCAAGGTGATGGGATGGGAAAAAAGATGAACCACAATATATAAAAACAGTGCTGGTAACTCAGTGTAGGTGCTCCTCAACCCAAGATGGGGTTGTGTCCCCATTTCTCCCCTACTCAGTGTAGATGCTCCTCAACCCAAGATGGGCTATGTCCCCAAAGCCCGTTGTAAATTGAAACTACTCTATGTGGAAAAATCATTTAATACACGCAACCTGCAGAATATCGTAGCTTAGCCACACAGTACATGGTAGAAGATCCATTATTCTATCTTTCCCATCCCACTCTGAGTGACCACTGTGGCTAACTGCCCTCGCCAGGCATCTCAGAAGAATATTGTATTACAATTCACTAGCTGGGAAAAGGTCAAAATTCAAAGTATGGACTCTACAGTGTATTTCTTTCACAGTATCATAAACTCAAGATATCATAAGTCCAAACATCCTCGAGAACTGTCTATAAGATATATCCTATATCACTATTGCAGTCAGTGAAATAACAAAACAATGAATTACAGCTAACAAGGCAGCAAACAAGTTTAATGTGGGATCATAAAAATTGTTTTCCACAAATGATGGCAGAAAAAGTGCAAATGGGGAATAAAGATTAAATGGTACAAATAGGAAACAGCAACATGACAGATTTACATCTAACAACATTGGTAATCATATTACGTGGAAATGGTCTTTGTGCTAAATCATGGTTCAAGATGTTGGGGTTTGAATACCAAGGAACTGTAAGCATGTTACTCATGTAGAAGTCTGACTCCATGAATGCTCTTGTGATGTGAAGATTACCTCAGTTACCCAGGTAGGAATAGTGTAAGTACAGGGTCCTTATAAGAGAAGACAAGAGAGTCAGAGGCGAAGGTGATGTGACCATGAAAGCAGAGTATGGAAAAGGCAAGCAGGTGGATTTTCCGCTGGAGCCTCCTGAGTGACTGGAGCTGCAACATCTTGATTTTGGACCTCTTCCCTCCAGAATTGAGAGAGAATAAATCTGTTTTGCTTTAAATTACAAAATGTGTGACGATTTGTCACAGCTAGAATAGGAAACTAATACCAGACAAAATGTCATTGATAAAAATCAGGAAGTGGCAGACTGCATAATAAAGTGAGACCATACTATACACTACCTTTTACAAATTGCTTAAATATAAAGAAATGAATAGGTTAAAAGTTAACATTGGAGAAAGGACAATAGTTGCTACGCTAGTCAGAAAAGAGCTGGACTGGCTATAATACTATGAGATTAAGTACATGTGAATGCAAAGAATATTATCCCGGTTAAGCGCAGTCACTTTACAGTGAATGTTTTTGTAGAGAATGTTGCAACCCTAAACACTGATGCACCAGATAACACAGTATTTGAATACATTAAGCAAAACCTGATAGAATTGTAAAGAAAAAATAGACAAACCCATGATATGCTCAGAAATTTTAACAGACCTCTTAGAAATAGGAAGAATAAGTAGAAATTCAACAAGTCTGTAGAAAACTTGAATGATGTTGCCAACAAATATGAATTCATTGACATTTATAGAACACAACCCCCAAGAGCATACTGTAGGAATTCTTCCCAAGTGTAAACAGACTATGGTGTTTACAAAGCAAGACCATATTCTAGACATAAAACAAGTCTCAAAATATTCTAAATGATTCACATCATACAAACTATGTTCTGTGATTATAATGAGATTAAAGCTGGAAAAAAATAACCAAAATAAGTGTTAAAAATCCCTAAATGTTAACCGGGTGTGATGGTGCATGCCTGTAATCCCAGAACTCGGAAGGCTGAGGCAGGAGGATCATTGTGAGTTCGAGGCCAGCCTGGGCTACAAAGTAAGCTTAAGGCCAGCCTGAACTGCATAGTGAGACCCTGTTTCAAAAAAAGACACCAAAAAAAAAAAATTCTTAAATGTTTATAAACCAAAAACAGAAGGTAACTTGTTCAGCCTGCTAAAAACTATCTATGAAGAAAGTACAACTTATATTAGAGTCCAAGGCAAAGACAATTCACTGAAGTCAGGAACAAGAAGAATTCTGTTCTTAGTACCCATAAATATTGTGTTGTTGATTTGGCCAAAAGAGTACATCAAGGAAAAGAAATAAAAAGCATACCACTTAGGAAGAAGGAAAGCTGTCTCTTCAGATACAATTTAATCTATAGTTAATCTGGTGGAATTACCAGAAAAGTACTAGAGATAATAGATAAGTCTAGCAAGAATACAGGATATACAATCAATTCTAATTCTAATTAGCAACAACTCGAAATTGAAATTTTAACTGACATTTATAATCACATAAAATATTAAATATATGATGTATAATACCTGCACATTAAAAATAACGAGACACTATTGAGAGGAATAAAACACCAAAATAAATGGAGAGATGTGCCGTGGTCATGGGTCAGAATAGTGAACACGAAGTTGTCTGTTCTCCCTAAACTGATCTGCAAGTTCAATTCAGTTGCAAGCAATGTCCCGGGAGGAATAAAACTTGCAAAGCTGATTCTCTAGCTCACTGATAAAGTGCAAAGGACTTGGAAGAACCAAAACAGCTTTGA